GATACCACAAGCGCGCGGTCATTAACAGATATGCCCATATCAATAAGGATGTCAAGGGAGACAACTTAGTTACCTAATTGTTCAAAATGTTGCAGCAAAAAGAAGATTGTTGCAATTGCTATTCAAATAAATGTTTACTACCTCAACTGAAAAATATATTAAGAAGTTTTATTGAAATTAACTAACCATTTCAGAGGGATGATATATAGAAGTTCATTGCCAGTGTATTACTTCAGATTTATAGCAGAGGAAATCTAATAAAAATACTGAATTTACAACTTAAAATGGTGATCTTCAAATATTTAATGTTTAAATAATGATGGTATGGAACAATGCATAATTATGCCATTAGATAGAGGTGGCATTTAATGTTTTAACAATTACATGTACATGAAATACTATTGGACATTTTCTTACTTATCAAGAAGGTTGCGGGCTAACAATTTTATTAATTTTGTTCCCAGGCAATGGTGAGAGAGTTATTCTTGCTGCTTTGTAAGTTAAGTTCTTTACAATCTCCTAGAGTCAAATATAGTTTGAGACAAAGTCGAACCTTTAGTTATAATAACAAATATTTGTACAATTTCTCATCTACCTATTCAGTCACAAACAAGATGTATAGTTTATCTGAAGCATTTTACATATTTCACTAGATGTTTTATTGCCACTCTCACATAAAGGCTTTGGCTTTGAATGCTTCAAGATGCTCCCAATAAAGAAGCTTTTTTTTTCCCCCCTGAATAAGCAGCTTGATTCAACAGAATTTCTAAATCATCTGAGATAACACGACTTCTTTTCTCCACCAAAATGCTTCATACTGTCAAATATTTACTACATGAATCAATGAAAAATAAATAAAACATTGACAACCAGCAACTGAGTGGACCAAGAATCAGAAAATAACACTCTCTTCTCCCATAGCAAACAGCACTTCTGTGCTATCTCAGATTTAGCAAACAGTTGCCTAATTATTTACTGTCATACGATCAGCAGACTGAATTTCGAGACACACAAATATCCTGCTTTTCAACTGTTAAAGCAACAAGGTACTTGGCATTGCAAGGTCTTCAAGATTGCAGCCTACTTTGGCTGCAGAAAAGGATGAAAAGTAAAATTTTCCCTTTTCTACATTTGAAAAGGGCAGCTTTTATCTTCCTAAACCAACATCTTAATGATGCAGCATCACACAATCCCAAGACTTCCAAGACAGGCAATGAATTTTGTACAGCTGACTCTGCTAGTTACAGTACTCAACAGCTGGGACATAGATAATCTGGCACCCTGATAATACCCTAAATGAGTAGGAGAGTGTTCTGCAGACTGTAACAAGGAAAAAAAAGAAAAAGAAAAAAGAACTATCAGCATTAAAATTATACATTGGAGCTCGTCTTATAAAGTCAACATGATTTGCATTCAATTAAAAAAGTTACTAAAAGAGGTGTTTACAAAAATGAGAAATTCAGAGAAACGGCACTCCCTCTTCAAAGCCTGTATTGTAGCAATTCTTTTCTGATTAGATCAGCTCCCATAGCAAGTCATCAGAACAACAATTGCTGTAGTGAAGTCATACTACTGGGACTCGAATGGGAAATCATGACTGGCTTGGAAACACATTTTAAAAAATAATGTGTTTTCCAGGTTTCCAATATATCTTAATTAAAACAAGTCCAAATCTTTACCTCTGCTCCAAATGGCTGAATAAAGTATACCTTGAATAGCAAAACACAGCACACCAGTATGCCAAATATGACACGGAAAACTAAGACAACAGAAACTAGATCCTTCCAAATAATTTCAGGATTTGGCTGTCACTGAAAATACCGTGTGAATGGACTCAATATTACCACCATAACATTATATACTCAAATACTTTCAGAATGTGCTTATTTTTTATAGATATGTAAATTAGTTTTTGGAGTTTAACTAAAATCCTTTTGTTCCCCAACACTGAAAACTAAATCTTTCAGCCCTTTTCCTGATAAAGGTCCCCTTGAAATAGGGGAAATGAGGTTTAATCTCTTTCCCAGGTTTTAAAGCAAGAAATCAAAGGTAATCCAAAGTATAATAGCAGTGCTTTGGGTTAGAACCAGAACAGAAAAACAAGTTTTCTCAGTGCTTATTTACAAAGTATACAGTCCATTAGATCTAAAATTCTGCAAAAATCAGTTCAGCTACATATAAACTGATGACCTAAGAAATAGGGGAGAATGGAATGAAAATGTGCTTTTGAAGATGAGGGTAATCAACAAACGGTAATTATTTGTCTCAACTAAAATGTCCTAATGCATTTCAGTACAGAAACAGTGCACATGCTCCATAACTGCATTGACACAACGGGCAACAGACACAAAGGAGTCATTAGTCAATACTGTTAATGACACATGAAATTGCAAGTGACATCGGTATAAAGTAAACTCGGATCTGGCAAGTTCTCACAGTCAAAATAACCATGTGTAAAGGGTTTATTTTTCAAAATATTACCACTAGCAACCTGGAATAAGTAAAATCAGTTATCAGGATCTTCAAATCAAGCTGTCTTAAACTATGCCACTCCCATTCCCATCGGTGGAAATCATTTAACAAAAATCTTCAGAACTGACTGGAAACATACAGCTGAAAAAAAATCAGATACGAAATCTAACCTACCTCATTCTCTAACATTACAATAGGACTCAGCACTGCAAATATCAGCATATGCTGTGACATGCTGTAAAGACTATTTCAGGGATGAAGATTCGGTCTAAACAGTTAACTCCATCCCTTTCGCACTTGAATTAAAATCAGTCCTGTAACACTTTTGATAAGCTTTTTCAGATTTAGTACTAGCAAATGTATTGAAAAACAGCAATGAATCATCCAAACCACTCCTTCTGTTCTGATGTATTTAATAAATCAATGTAATTTGCATTTCTAGCAAGATGAATTTAGCTATGTGTATCATTGTTACAATAAACGTGGTTTTATCCTTATTTTTCTATATCTGATGAGAAAACTCAGGTGCTACAGGAACTAAGCTCATTCTTTGCCCGACTACCAAAAAAAAAAAAAAAGTAAATAAATAAAAAGGTAAAAATAAACCGAAGCTTTAAATACGAATGCGCATCGAGACATAAACCACTGTGCCCGCACTGCACTTGAAAAACAGACTTTTAAACACACGAGAGAGCGTGTCACCGACTGGTGAGGTGACACGGTATTTCAATTTATCGCAGAAGCCGCCCACGTCCGCCGCCTCCAGATCCACCCAACTCGGGGCCACCAATGTCCCCACCTGGCCGCCAGCGCCAGAGGCTCCTGGGTCCGCAGCCGCCACACCCGGCGGGGCGAGCTGCCACTCAGGCGGCTGCGGTGGCACAAGGAGCGCTGCCCTACCTTTGTATCTCTCCAAGACATCTTCATAGGCTTGCAGGTACTCTTGCTCCTCGGCGTAGAAATACGCGCCGGGGGAGAGGTAGCCAGCCATGGCCGGCAGCTAGCCTAGCCTAGGCTCGCCTAGCCTAGCTTAGCTTAGCTTAGTTTAGCTTAGCTTAGCCTAGCCCTGCCCTGCCTTGCCCTGCCGCCCGCCCGAGCGGCTCCGGACGGCCGGGTAGCCCCAGGGACGGCACAAGAAAAACCCCGGCAGCAGCGAGAGGGAGGCGGGTGGGGGGCGGCGCTGCCAGCCCGGCCGAGGAAACGCCCCCCGGCCGCTCGTGTTTCGGTGGCCGCCCCTCTGCGCTCCGAGAGGCGGCCCCAGCCGCAGAGCTCGGCTCCAGCCCCATCGCCGAGGCACCGCCTTCGAAGCCGGCGAGCTCTCACCACCTCCCACCACCCCCCGTGCTTTTGCCCCGGCCTCCTACGGGATGAGAAGGGCGGCGGCCGCCGAGGCAGGAACGCGGCGCCCGCGGCACTGACGGGGTTGGCGGGGACACTGTCACCCTGCGGCGCTGGCGCTGAGAGGCCGCAGCGCGACGGACACCGCCGGGGACTCGCGGGCAGGGACCGAGCAGGAACCCCAGCGCCCGCAACCAGGCGGGGCGGGAGCCCCCGCTATACCGGCGGAGGCGGGGGACCGGCCCCGCCGCAGGTGTCACCGCCGCTCGCCCGCCCCCGGCCGCGCCCCCACCGCCCCCTGGCCCTGACCCCGCCCCGGAGCGGTCCCTGCTGCCCTAGCCCCGGCCCTCGGGTCCCCCGCCCTGCGCACCCTGCCCGCTGGGCTGGGCTGGACCGGCTCCGCAGCTTCCCCCCCGCCCCCACTCGCGGCTGCATCCTGCGGCTCGGGGGAGCTCGGCTCCGCAGCGCGCCCGCTGCCCCCTCCAACAGCGCCGCTAAGATGGATTACCCTGGGAAATGGTGTCCCGAGAAGGGACCTACCGAGGCGCACACAAAAGGGGGGTGGCTGGGGGGAACAACAAGGGTGTTACCGGGGAGCACCGGAGCCAGCTGCATCTTTCTGGGATTCATTTACAGGCATTTTCCAGCTCTCGCCGGGGAGAAGCGGACCTCCGCCCTATTTTCGACAACATTTGTCGCTGGTCCGCGGCCCAGCGCCCGCCGGCGTCTCCGGCACACCCGGCGCTCCATCCCGGTCCCGGCCTCCCCGGGGCGCAGCCCCGGCCCCGAGCGGACAAAGACCGGCTCCTGGTCCCCCGCCCGCGCGGAGCATCATCGGCCGCCGCCGCCGCGGCCTCTCCGCCCTGCGGGCAGTCCAGCGCCGCTTCCCCCCTGGGCGGGCGACCCAGTGCTCCCTCGGCCTTGCGGGCCGGAGGAAGCACCGGCACTGGCTGAGCCGACCCCCGCCGCGGCTGCAGCCCCCGGCCACTGATGTGTTTTCACATGAAAGTTTAACAGGCGCACCTGCGCGCGTTTCGCCTCTCCTTCCACACGCATCAGTTCACCCAGCCGGAAAACGCGGCCAAAGAGCTTAGTCACCGCCTGGCGGGGCTGCGCTCTGAAAGGGAAGGGACGAGGGTCCCTCTACCCCCCGGCCGCCCCCTGCCCTGCCGTTCCCGGCCGCGCCTTACCGGCGATGCGCAGCACGGCCCGCTCGGCGGGGTCCAGCACGGAGCCGCCTTGGATCTTCCGCTTGGACCGCTCATGTTTGGGCAGGTTCCAGGGCAGCGTGTCCCCCGGCGCCGGCGACACCGTCCCCGACCTCTGGCTGAAGTCCTCCTCATCGGAGAAATCGGCGGAGGACGACATGGAGCATCGGTAGGACGCGTTGCCGGAGCTCTGCACGGGGAGACAGACAGACAGACAGGGTGCGTGGGGAGCGGCTCGGGACCGGGGCCTCAGGTGGCATCGCCGAATACCCGCCCCGCGTGGCGTGGAAAACCATCTCATGGGAAAAGGAGGATAGGAGAGAGGGACGCCGCTCACCATTGCCGTGAATTTAGGGGGGAAGAGGGGTGCGTGTGCGGAGTGCCGAGGGAGATCCTCCAAAAAATATCCGGTCTTTAGCAGGTGTGCATTTGGAGGGATGTCTGGGGAGAGCCGTGGCCTGCGGCTGGGCAACCAGCTCGCAAATGAGCCTCCCACTTCCCCAACAATAAACCCAGCAGCAACAACAGCCGAAAAAAAACCCAACAACCTTCCCGGCTACAGATCGATGGCGTTTGGCTCCCCCGCCAGGACAAGGGGAAGATTTGCCATCCCCGAGTTGCTGGTGAAATCGTTGATGTAAATCCGCCCCCGGGGCAGCCCCACGCCGGGCTCTTTGTTACCGGCCCGGGCCCCGCAGGGCCCCTTCTGCCCCGCGTAAGCGGGGGCAGCCCGGCGCGGCTGGACAGCGGGGACAGGGGCAGAGAGAGAAGGAAGGAAGGGATACGATTTCTCAGAGCAGCCCCTTTGGGTAGCAGGGCACCCATGGACGGCCTTCAGTTACACTTTGCGAAGGCGGCTTCGGCAAACAAACGACTGATCTCGCCATGTAGATTGTATCCACCTTCAGGCTTCCCAGCTACCCATAAAAAGAGTTCTTCCAGAAGCGTAAATAAACACTGATGCAGCGCAGGGAGAGGGCTGTTGCCATTTCTGGCTTCCCTGTTTAGAGTGAAGTGGGAAACAGAGATGTCTGAGATACAACATTTCAGCACCATGTTGAAATTTAGAGTACATTATTATACACAGGTTATCAGGACACAATGGAGGGCAAGGTGCTATTTCTCTTCCACTGCATTTTCTGATTGGAGAGACTTGTGATTTCTACAGGGCATTTGACAAGAAAACTACAGATTTTATTTGTGATTCTTGCGGGATCTACTGTGATAGTCTTTCAAAAGTGCAACCTGGTGCTCGTCCAGTTATGGTGTTCATTTTTAGGTGTATGCTCTTCTCAACTTGGAGAGGTGTAGTAAAATCATAGAATCAGAAAATAGTTTGAGTTGGAAAGGACATTTAAAAACTAATTACAACCTCCCTGCCATAGGCAGGGACACCTTCCACTAGACCAAGTTGTTCAAAGCCCCATCCAACCTCGCCTTGAACACTTCCATAGCTTTTCTGGGCAACCTGTTCCAGTGCCTCACTGACTTCATAGTGAAGAATTACTTCCTTATATCTAACCTGAATCTACCCATTTCCATTTTAAAGCCAGCATATTTTGTTATGCAGAGACAGCCTCATTCAGCCATTCTAAATTCCAGATTTTTTAGATACTAAGGCAGCTAATATTTTAGGCTTGTCCTGTAGTCTTTTTTTTTTATTATTATTATTTAGGGGCTTAAATGGTACATTTATGTACAGAAGAAATTTGTATGGTGACTGAGATCTGATAAAACTTATTGTTGCTGTCTGAACCTTTTTACTGTCAGTTATCATAGGGATTATTTTACCCATTTTAAAACTCAGAACCTGCATAATCCAGAGGAATAACATGATGCAGTCTTTGCCATGCATAGAGGTGCCAATAATATACAGTTAAATAATCTGCTATAATAAGAGGGTATCTCTTATTAGTAGTTTTCCCTCCTTCACTTCTATCCCAATCCTCTTTTCTCCTTCTGCAATACTTCCTGGTGAAGTTCTAAAGGGGAGAGTTGAGAGGAAGGGAATGAATACCAAAAACACAGTTAACTGAATTCTTGTTCACTGTACTGTGATGTGGAGAGAGCAAGAGGTAACTTCAGAAAAACAGAAACATGAGATGTCTGATACCAGCTCTGATTGCCTTCATAATTAGTTTTACTGCAGAGACTATTTTTCTGTCAGTTTGTATAAGTTAAAACTGTAGGATCTCATAAAGCGTGACAGTCACATACAGGTGTCTTCCTGATGGGAGCTAGAAGTGTTTAGCTTGCTGCAAGGTATAAAGGGCACTTTGCTGTACCACGTGTGGCTACCAGGGCTCCTGATGTGCTTAGTCAGAGATTAGGTTCCTTGTGGCCTGTCCTTAGCTCCAGATTTTGCCCTAGAAAAGAAAGTGTTGTCTTTAATCCCAGCTCTAAACATCCTGCTTCAGGCCTGCACCTTCTTTTGGCTGCTCAGCAACCCTCTATATCTTTGGATCACAGAGACCCATGGAGATTTAGCCTTTCAACTTCTTCACCTTCTTAATTTCTAGCTTATAATATGAGAATTAAAAAGAGCCCAGACAAGGTGTTGTGAGGATGCTACAGCAATAGTTTGTTAGTATTTATGTAGCAGCTTGGAATATGCAAGGACAAAGTACAATAGCAGTTGTTATTGAAGCTTTTGGAAAAGATCTTTCAACTCACAGATTTATCTTTGAAAGTAAGCTATAAATTTTATCCAGTAGGATTTCCTTTTCTCAAAAGAGGCCTTCATAGCCCATTCTTATTTTTAATAACACCTCCTTATACCCTTAGAAACCAAAAGCACTGTTGAGTGGTCGTTCCATATGCACCATCGCTCTATTGAGATGTCAGTTTTAGGGAAAGGAAGTCCATCCTTCTGGTCAGCTTTGCTCCAATACTGGAAGATAAACTGTGTGAGAAAACCCCACTCACACAGTTATGAGCATTCAAACTGAAGAGGCAATGGTAGAGCAGTCTTTGGCATCTATGTGTATTACAACTAGCTTTTAAGTTGTCCTACCTTACTTAATGCATGAATTAACAAAATTAATGAATAAAACCCACTTTAGCTTCTAACTCTTCAAGAATCATTTTGTTTCATTTTCAGAACAAAGTAGGAAGCTCAGAAAGGAGTTCTTCATAAGAGCAGAATCTAGCAAACTCACATCTAAGAAATGTTAACTTCTAACTTAATTACAGTTTACTTTCTTATTCAGTGTGGAGATACCTCTGAGTGATGTGTACACAGAGCTATTGAGCATGTAAGTGTTTTTAAAAATCTCGACTTTGCTATTCCAAAGATGTTTATAACGAACTGAGCAACTTTGCTTGAGTAAATTAACAGCTTTGTTAAGAAGTTTGTAGTTGCTCCCCTTTTGTTGTTCACAACATGTGTACCACTCATCCCACTGGACTGTTTGTTTCTAGCAAATATATTTTCCATGATATAGCTGTAAGTCCCAAATAAGGATTCAATTATTATAGCAAAAAATTAAGCAGTTTAAAAACAGGAAATGAAGCAGAACATCTGTTCTGAAAAGGGTCCCTGGCCAATTAGGACAGCATGTGGAAAAAAACATGGTTATATTCGGTTAAAATCAAAATATGTAAGGCACTTCTGTTATTTCTCCATAAAGCATATTGCTGTATGCAAGTGAAAAATGTAACTGTTAATAACACAAATAATTTTGGGGGGCTATGTGAGTCAAGTGTCTTTTATATCTGCTAAAATATTGATCCCCCTTACTTAGCCTACTCTGGGACTTAGCAAGGGTCAGGGCTTGACCATTCTTAGCTTCAAGGCCCGTAAGGTCACAGCCCAGATGCTCTAACTGCTTATTCTACACCTCCGATTATGCATTCTTCCTGCTCATTAGCCTGGGGGCCTCTCGGCAGCCTCTCTGGCTGATGCGCAGGAGCGGCTGCCTTTGCAGTGCGGGTGTGCATCCGGCAGCCGGGCCGCGGGAGCCCCGTGGTCCCACAGGAGCACCCCTAAGCGGAGTTCTGGCAGCATCCAAAGCCCGGGATTGCACGTGATGCACCGTTCGCTGCCGGTGCCGCAGGGGGGTGCACAGCGCACACGGAGTCCCCACCGCCGCGTCCCGGGAGGCAGAGGGCTCCACGGAAGCGACATGCAGAGCCAAACCCCCTTCTGCCAGAGCCTGCTGGCTTCTCTGTAATCAGGTGATTTGCAGCAGCCGCCTGAGAGTCAGCCTTGCTGCTGTAGTTTCCAGTAAAGGGGATGATTTCAAAGAAATATTTAGCATACTTCTTGTAAGAGGGATTTGGCCAAGTACCAAGGCATGCTTTCCCTTGAGGAGGGAAAGGAGTGCTGTTTGTCACAGGTAAGGTGCTGTGGAAGATCAGGTGGAAGCTAGCTGGAAGATCGTGTAGCTGGAAAATGGTATATAGTAATGCACACCACCATAGATCAGGTAAGCCACCTGTGAATAGGACCTGATGGGGTCAAGAACACTGGTGGCCAGTGCACTGTCATTCCTCAGGGCAGAAGCATTAGCCGAGGTCAGATTTTAAATTCAGTCAGGCAACCCAGCTGGGAAAAGCTGCTGCGAGGCTGATACCAAATTATCGTCGTATTGCAAAAATTCCCCAACCCTGTGACACATCGGATATTGTGCTGGCCAACTGAATTATAATCAAATAACTTGTACTTTCGCATTTTATCTCTAAGATGATTTTCCACTGCAGTGAATCCTTTCACACTGGCTTTTGGAAGCTATGGGAAGTACAGTTTAGTTATGAGTTATTTATATTTTATTTATACTACACTATCTCAAGAATTCCTGGAATACATTTTCTTTTCTATCATGTTCATTGTGGGAAAATGGATAAATATGAACAGAAATGAAGCAATAATGATTTTACTGAGTGTGCTTCAGCGAAATTCCTTCTAATTTAGAATAATCAATTGAAAGTAACAGGCTATTTTTGTCCTTTAACATCCCAGATTAAATGATATTAAAGTGGATCAACTTTTAAAGTAAAATAACTTTACAAATTTAAGACAAAATCTAGGGCAACTGAATGTTCCCATTAGTAAATCTTTACCACTTTAACCTGATTAGATGATAATGCACTGCAGAATACAAAACATCCAATGTATGTAATCAGGCTGTGCAACTGCATGTTGTCAGAAATTATCAAAATTCAAAACGACACAAATGACAGTACAAACAA